CTTATTCAAAAGTTAGACAAATACATGACCAAAAAAATCCAGATCAATATCCCTTATTAACATATATGTAAAAAACCTCAACAAAATGTTATTAAACATGCTTCAACAGCATATTGACAGGATTATATAGCATGACAAAGTGGGATTTATCCCCAGCATACGAGGGTTTAACATACAAAGATCAATATAATACAAAATTTACAAAATGTGAGCCACGTGATCATGCCAAAGCAGAAAGGGCAATTTCATGTTAAAAACAGTAAACAAAGAGGGTAATTCATCAATATGATAAAAGGCATAAAAACAGATAATACCATACTTGATGGTCTATTCCTTAAAATCACCAGTATTCAACATTGTACTAGAAATCATAGCTACAGCAATTAGACAAGGGAGGGGAAAAAAAGCAGTCAGAATGGACAATTTACAGTATCTGTAATTACAGAATATATGATGACCCTGTATGTAGAATATGCTCAAGAATCCACAAAACCAAGTGTCAGGATACAAGATCAACCCAAAAACATCAGTTGTATTTCTATACAGTAGAGGCAAAAACAATTCTAACATGAAATTAAGAAAAACATTCCATATACAATAGCATCAGATAAAAACTGATTCTCAAGTCATATGGGTCTCTGAATAGCCAAAGCAATCTTGAAAAACAACAAAGCTGGAGAACTCAAACTTCCTAATTTCAAAACTCCAAACCTAGATACTGACATAAAGATGAGTCAGGGACCACCAATCCATGGTCATTTGTTTTTGACATGCATGCAAAGATCATATAATGGGAAAGACAACATGCTGTGGAGAACAATGGGATCGCCACACCTATACAAAAATCAATTCAAAATGGATCAAACACCTAAATGTAAGTGCTACAATTATGAAACTCTCAAAAAAGAAAGAAGCGGTAACTTTTAAGGACCTTGGATCTACATAACCATTCTTGACACCAAAAGCATAAGCAAGATGAGAAAAAGATGGACTTCATAAAAATTTAAAAAATTTTTGTTATCCAAGGACACTATCAAGAACGTGAAAAGACAGCATAAAGAACATAAGATATTTGCAATTCACAAATCTAATAAGGCTCTAGAACATACAATACATAGAGAACTCTTACAACTCAACAATAACCCAATTTAAAAGAAACAAAAAAAAAGGACGTTACTTGAATACACATTTCTCAAAGAAGATATTCAAATCGTTAGGATACCTATAATTAAAAGAAAAGAAAAAAATAACAAGCACCAGTGAGGAAGAAGGGAATTGGAACCTTCATATATATATTCTGCAGTCACTATGAATAACTGGCACATCTGAAAAGTTAAGGCATAGGATTACTGCATTTTTATGCAAATAACACACATTATACATTAGGGCACTTTTGGAAATACCTCCCATGAGATATTTAGCAAAAGAAAAGATGTATGCTATTGTTATTGTTAGGTGTCAGGTCAATTCTGACTCATAGTGCCCTTAAGCACAACATAAACACTACCTGATACTGCATCATCTCCACAACTGTTATGTTTGAGGCCATTGCTACTGCCACTGAATCAACCCATCTTGTTGAACTTCCACTTTACCAAGCATGATGTCATTCTCCAGGGACTGGTCCAAATTATGAGATGAAGTCTTGCCATCTTGGCTTCTAAGGAACATTCTGGTTGTACTTCTTCCAACACAGATTTGTTTGTTATTCTGGACGCTCAACTTTTAATATTATTCTCCAACACCATAATTCAAATGCATCCATTCCTCTGAGGTCTTTAGTCCTCAAACTGGTATCTGTATTCTTGAACACTTTAAAGCGTTCTTTGTGCAGATTTTATTTTTTTATTATGAATTGAATGATAGTTTACATGGGAGAACATTGGTTTTACAACATCGTTTCATTGTGATGATTACAATCTCCTCTGCACATCATCACTCTACAGTATTTGCTTCTATTCCCTCTAGGTTTTTTTTTTTTTTTTTGCGGGGTGGGGGGAAGTGTATACAAAAACACTCAAGAATAATCACTTAAACACCCAAAGGGCACATTCTACAAGCTGCCTCCTGGCCTCCAGCACCCAGTCCCTATCTTTCTATGAGTCGAGTCCTCAGCTGCTCTCTCTCCATGTCCTCATCTCTGCCTCATTCTCTGGTGTTGCTGCTTTTCTGGATAGGGTCCCACATTCTGCTCATGCTCTGCTCCCTTGATGGCCCTAGGGTCCTGTTCCTGGGCTGTTTTTGTTACAAAACATTTACCTTTACAGTTGTGACAATCGCAATTAGTCATGATAACAACTACACTATTGAATCATAAAGAATCCTATCCCCATCTCCTTTCACCAGACCCATCTAGATAAGATGAAAGCTAATCAGTGGGACTCTACCTTCCCCCGCACATTCTTAAACTAAATTCCCTCTTGAAAATTTGTAAACCAGTCACTTGGTGCCTTTATTGCCCCCTCATTTTAGGTAGCCTATGTTGCCTGTCTATCCTGTATACAGAGGGGATGGAAGTGATATTTGATGTGATGACTTCTTCCTTCTCTGTTGGTATTTTGAGCTTTTACATCCACAAATACAGGTCAAGTTCATCAAATTGTAGCAATTTACACTTGTTTCCTTTATCAAAAAAAATTTTTTTTTTAATCTACCCGTAGTCAAGTTCTGATCATCAAGCCATCAAGGCTAGGTCAAATGGGTACTATTTGCAAGTCTGGGCATTCTAGTGAATGTCCCCTCATTTCTTATCAGCTGGATACTTTACTCTCAGCTCTAGCCTTATGTCCTTGTCCATGGGCTCAAGAGTCCACAGGTCTCACCACACTTTGGACCAGCCCTTCCTCTTCTTTCACCTCCAGGGAGTCTATGGGACATGGTTGAACTCAGCCCAGTTCTTCATTGCTGCCTTTCCCCCTCCTCTTCCACTAACCAGTAGGCCAACATAGTAGCCAGCAAGCTTATATGCCCGTTTCATGTGTTCCCTCTGCGTTTCAGTCTTGGAGCAGGGTTTGTCCTGACAGGAGCTGATTGTTTGTCACAGAACTGTGCTCCACAGGGCTTTCAATAGCTGAATTTTTGGAAGGAGATTACAAATCCACAGAGACAAACAGATTAGTGGTTGCCAGGGGATGGAGGAAGAAGTAAGTGGAGTAACTGCTAATGGGTACAAGGTTTCTTTCTGCGGTAAATGTTGAGTTAAATAATGATTGTTTGTATAACTCTGAATTTATTAAACACAATTGAATTAGAAATGGCCGAAATAGTTTATAAGTTTTACTTCAATTAAAAAATATATGTAATTATAAAAGAATAAAATGACATTGATAATAGTGGGGTAAAGTAACTGCAGTTATGCCAAATAGTGGTAAAAAGCAGAAATAGATGTTATGTTTAAATATATGTGTATATATATATATATATTTATATATACACACACACACACGTAAATTTTTTAATGATCTGATTTTTTAAAAGTAGTTTGCTATTCAAAATATACATATCTCTTACATTAACTGAATAAATACATGAATGGAATATTTCATTTTAGCTGAAAGTCACAAAACAGAGTTCAAAAGTTGCACTGTACAATTTGATTTAAAGAAACACAAAAGACATAAAAGTATACATTGCAAATTTATTATGTATTAGGAAGCTTTAACTTAAAAACCAATAGCATAGTAAAAAGATATGTTATCTCTGCTCATGGCAGAACAGATTTCAAAATATATTTTCTTTTAAATGTATTAAGCCAGTATACAATCCTTTATAAAAGTTGTATATATATTTTTGTCAATACCTTCATTACATTTATAAATACAAGATTTACACAGCACTCCTCAAAAAAAAAATTAAATCCCTTACAAATATCTACATATATTTCATATCTATGAAACTTTCAAAGGAGTGCTCTGTTAAAAGTAAGCCTGATTTAATATCCATTTATTGGTGCAGCAAAAATACATATAAATCTTTAAAGTTTTCTTTGTCCATAAAGTAACAAAAAATTATCAAGACACCATGAAAATGAGTTTCACAAAACCATCATATTTTGAGAATAAATTTGATGATATTCATATTTCCATGATATTCCAAAGTGAAATAAGAAGATTGAAATGAAGATTATGATAAAAAAAAAAAACAAAAAAAACTCATACTTTGGAAAAAAGTCAAGCCAGGGGTTTGATGAATAGGAAAAATTATTTGAAAAGTCAGACATGGGAAATGTGGGAAAGTACAAATAGTGCTAATGAATTCTGTGAGTCTGAACTTGCATATAAACTACACTGGCACCCAGTTACTACTTGTTATTCACATTTAGGAATGATCACATTGTTGAAAAACATTTTAGAAGCATCCTCCGATTTCTATGTTACTACCAGAATGCTCAATTCATTTTTCTTCTGTAAAATCACTCTGGATTGGACCAAAATACTAGATACATGATTTTGAGTTTCCAGTGCTACATGATTTAAATATTAAGAAAACTTTCGTTCAACTGAGAAAGAGGATCCCTTTTTTATATGTAAAAAAAAAAAGGTGTATATGCAGAATTTCATTCCAGACAGGAGACGAAAGCAGGAAGAAATCCAAGTAAAACTAAGTTTTCCTTTAACCTTTGAAAAAGGCAATAGACTCCTGATACTTAATGAGTGGTCCCTCATAAACACTTATAGACTCTGTAGGCGTATGTTCAGAGAAGCAGGAAGGAATGAAAGAAGGGATTCTTGTGCTGGAATCTTGCCACTATCCTCCTACACGCTCTGCTGTAAAGTGTTTGGAAAGACTGGTCACCCTTACTCTGGAGTTAATGAAAGCCATCCTGTGCTGTAGAGATAGGACTTCTATTTGAGCACAGACTCCAGATAACCTTGGGAGTTGCACATCATTTGCAGGAAGTATTTCAAATCTTACCTTGCTCTAATGTACAAAGAAAAAGAATGGATGAAAAGGAAGCAGGGAAAGAGCAGAGTGGAAGAAGGAAGAGAAAAGGGTCACACTTATCAAACTTGGCCCTGAAGAATGCTGGTATCTCTCCTCCAGCACCATGAAGTCTCTGTGTAGTGTGACTCCCTCTATGGCTCTTGAAAAATCACCCTTTCTACAAAGTTTATAGTTCAGTGCACTGATTCCCAGACTCCTCAAAGGAAGAGAGTTCCCAGATGCTGTTGTCTTGCAGCAGCGGCTCAATGTCTTCATCAATGACCCGTTCTGGGGTGTTGGTCAGGCTGCTGCTGTTGCTGCTGCTACTGCTGCTATGTTTGTGAATTCCACTGGCTTTACTGTATTCAGGGATAAATAAAGCAACCACAAAAGACATAAGAACTATACATGCCCCAAATAAAAATGGTGGGCCGGGGATGACAGCTCCCTGATGGGTGTGGGAAACAAATGGAGATGAAGAATTCAGTTAGTTTTTTCAATCCAAAATTACTCCTAGATGACCCCCACAAAAAAATCACACCACCAAAAAGTGAATCATGGCAATCTCAAAAACCAGTCTCATTAAATGGCAAGGCAAATTCTAACAGAACTAGTGTTTGGAATCTGACAAATGGCAACTAATCACTACTCACTGTACCACTTTTACACAGCTTTAACCCTATACATAAGTGACTGCTGCTTATTTTTACCTTGTCCTATAACTTTATATCATTCATGTCTGTACATGTATCTATATTATCACTTGGAAGAAACACCAAATTTATGGAAGACACACTCTAGCTCAATATTTAGGCTGAATTTTTAGGTAATCTCATTTTCTTTTGCCTAATGGTGCTGTGGGTTAATGTGCTGACTGCAGGGTAGATGGTTCGAGCTCACCAGCCACTCTTTGGAAACCCTATACAGGATCGCTATGAGTCGGAATTGACTTCACAGCACTTAACAACAACAACACTCTTAACTACAAGCCCTGGTGTGACACTGTAGGATAAACACTGGACCCCTAACCACCAGATTGATGGTTTAAATCTACCAGTCACTCCTTGGAAACTTTATCCAGGGTCACCATGAGTAGGAACCAACTCAATGACATTTAATAAGGGTAAGAAATCTTAACTAAAGGACATCATTCTGAACAAAGATAAGAGAAGTCTTCTACATCAGAGACACAGGAAGCAGTGAACATAGACTAACTACTGTCAAATACAATAGTCATATAAGAATTTGCTACAAACTAAAATCAGAAGATTTTGCTGTAATCTGATACTACCAATATTATAAAACTAGACTTATTAACAATTTACCTGCATGGCAACTTTGTTAGGATCCAATTCTGACTCCATTTCAGTCAGTTCAACGTGGAACATGTAGAATATGAAGCCATACAATGCAGGCCCCAGACCATTGCACAGTCCTCTTATTCCAGTTATTATCCCCTGGCTAACTCCTAAATTAGAACAAAGAGAAGAGAGTCAGTCTTTTCTATAAAACAACCCAAGATTTGGAGCTTAACATTCTTGCAAATTAATGACATATTCATTCAACAATATTGGATAGAAAGTATGCTTAAGAAAGCAGATTATGAAGACATAGGCAATCATATTTTTTATTCATTCCACAAATGCTTTCTTGGGTATTCTCATTCTCTGTCCCGATATCTAAAATGAGATGAAATGATGAAGATGTTTCTGAAATCCTTTGGGGCAGAATTCCTTAAGACAAGCAACATCTGTTATATTACAAGTAATATAAATTAAGACCAATATTCACTGGGCTTCTGGTGTGGCACTGTAGGATAAACCCAGGACTACAAGGTCAGTTTGAACCATAAGGTCAGTGGTTCAAACTTACCAGTTGTTCTTCAGAAACCCTATACTGGGTTGTTATGAGTTGGAACCTATTCAACAGCACTTAACAAAAACAACAACATTCATAGTTTGCAGGCAATTTCCACTTTTTTGCTGATTGAGATTTTCTTACTCTGTTCACTGAAAGTGCTTAATAATATCCTGTACAAATGGGAACACAGATCCATCCTGCCTGCTACACATGCCCTTACATCTGCTCTCTGCATTCTGGGCAGTGTCCTACTCATGATTGGTATTGAAAAATCCCAGGGCTGCCCATTTCTAGATATGTCTTAGTTTCTAAATTAGCAGGTAAAAAATTCGCTTGAACCATATAAAAACGATGACTTTTAAGTGAAAAATGGTCAACAACTGGCAACTTGAAAAAAAGTGACATTATTTGAACATGGATATGAATGAGAGAGCTAACTTCTGATGTGGAAAGACAGGTATAATGAGTAAATGATCTTTTCCAATCTAGGTCTTTATGGAAACTTTTTAAGAACTTAAAAAAAAAAAAATCCTTTGAATTTAGGTGAGCCATTAGGATATTGAAGCTAGAGACACAAGAATGAATGAATCAAGAGCTTAGATGGCGGTTTCTCTACACAGCAGTCCTCATTTTAATTCTGTTTTTTCACTAGGCATCCAATTATCAAAAATCAGAGAAACTTTCTTTTCCCCCTCAAAAGAACTATTTCCTACATTAAGCTAATAAACTCTGAATGTTACATTTAAAATAACTCATTACTAATTGCTCTATCATTATTTAACAAATATCTGTTAAAAAAAGGAGAAGAGTCCAGTTAATTCTGATGGTAGTGGACTAAAGAGGAATCAAAACTGAAAGACGGAATTTTTTTTTTTAAAATTGTTAGCATTATAAACTCATAAGTTCAGGTTTTACAAATATGAGTATAGAAAAGAACAAACAAGACAGCGGATCCGGTGGAAGTGAAGTAAGGAGCTCCGTCAGCAACAACACAGAATATACGACCAAGCAGGCTCAGGGGATGGTCCCAAAACTCTGAACCACATAAAAAGGAATATTTAGAAGGTTGGAAGGCTTACAGCTAAGTGGATTTGTAGCAGAAGCAAGAAATTCACTGTTTTCTAATTCAAGACGCTCAGCTGCTCCAGGAGCCACCATCTTGGGTGAGACTAAGAGGTGGAAGGATCAAAGCAGTCAGAGATGCCTGACAGAAATGCGGAAATAAAGGTGTGGACATTCTTTTGTTTTGGTATCTGTTGTTGGTCCCTTGCTTTCTGCACACCTCCATTCTGGTGACTACAGGGGTGCCTGAGCGAATGGATACTCCAGCCCCACCCTCGGAGGGTTCTACTACGCATGCACACAGATCTCCTCGAAATTTAAAGAGACAGTTTCCATTTAAAACCAAACACCATAGTCGGCCCTGAACTGTTTATAACTAGAAAAAAGGCCTGAATGGGGATTGTGGAGCCGGACAAGCAGACAAAAAAGGAAATAGGCCGAAAATTAAATCCTAAGTTACGTCAAAATGAACAACAGTGGCATCTTGAAATTTCTCAAGAAGAGTGAAAAGGGAAGCTCATTTGCTGATCACATCTACATGGAGGCAATCAGACAGCATAAAAAATACCAAAATACACACCCCTCTAAGTATTAAGGCCACAGATAACCCCTGAATATCACTAAAAAACAGAAGTAGATGACCATATCTGCACATGTGCAGAAATGAGATAAAGTGACTGAGGCAAATGAGCTAGAAGTAGACCTACACTCCATACAGGAAGATGGGCAGGCTTTGGAAATGCCTGAGAAGGAATTCCTAAAAATGATTATGAAAGGTATCAAAAAACTATACAATGCAGTTGAAAAAAATAAGGAAGAAGTCAGGAAAGTGCTACAGGAACAATCAAAGAAGATAGATACAGTATTGAAAACAATCAGAACCTACAGAAAGAGGTCCAAATGATTAATAATAGAATATCAAAAATGGACAATGCATTGAAAGGGCAAAGGAATAGAATTGAGATAGAAGCCAGAACTAGTGAGCTAGAAGATAAATCTCTCAACACTACTAAGATAGAAGAACAAATATAAAAAAGGATAAAAAAAATCAGAAGAAGCCCTAAGATTCATGTTGGATAACATGAAGAGGAATAACATAAGAATTA